GAACAAATAAATGGAATTGATTGGCTATACGTCTTTGAAATATAAAAATTAGAAATTAAATATTATTGCATTGTTTAGCTTACTTACTGTATAGTCTATCATCACTTTTTTGAAATCTTCAACATCCCATATTCTGCTACGGTTTTTCGGAAGCTTTTGCATTTTCACCACATATCTACCCATATCTTCAATCAAATCATGCATTTCAATCGTATCATCTTCAGAGATGAACACAAGAGATTTATTAATCAGAACATTCAATCCGTATTCAGCTCCAAAGTCACAACTCTCAAGAATTTGCATGACTTCTTTTCTTTCAATTCCACGTAAGAAACATGCAATATCTAGAAATATCTCTTGCTCTTCAAGCTCCAACCCATCATAACTTATTTTGAGTTTTTCAACAATTTCTGAATTAGAGTTTTTCTTTATTTGCTCTACAGTTTTTCTCCACAAAGTTAGACACTTTTTATGCAATAAAGAACCCCACACCTTGAGGGCTAAAGGAAGGCCTTTAGCGTGATTTACTACCTCCAATGAGAACTTCTTAAAACTCTCATCTGGATCTTCTTTTTTAAAAGCATGCTTATTGAATAATTGCATAGCTTCATGATCAGGTAGTGTAGACACTTCGTATATCGCATCATCCTTCTCTATCAAATGTTTGTTTCTAGTTGTCACAATGACTCTACTGCCATTACCAAACCAATCAACATCACCTGCTAAATACTCCAAATGCTCAATGTGATCTATATCATCAAGCACAATTAGCACCTTCATAGAACAAAGTATGCTCGGAATCATGCACTTCCCATCATACTTATCATTGACATAATCATCTTTTTTTCTTAACAGTTTAGAGAGAAGGGTGTTTTGTAAAGAATGCAATTCATTCTTTTTTGCATTTTCTTTAACATCTGCAAGAAAACAGGAAGCTTTAAATTGATAAGATATAGCATCAAAAATAGCTTTTGCTATTGTTGTTTTACCGACTCCGCCTATTCCCAGATCCCTAAAATCCGAACATCGTTGTTTCCATTTGAAGTTTGGATTTTAGTTTCTCTAAGTGATCGTTTATTCCCACAACATCTTGCAAAAAAGATGAAGAATAAGCATTTGTGCAAAATTTGGAAGAGATGCAGCCTACGATCTGTTGAATATTCTCTGATTCAATCCTACATAAAGAAGAAGATTGATAGTTTAGGAGGACTTTTATGTATTCTCTCTAATTGAATTGATAGAACTATGCCTTCTTAACAATAAAAATGTATATACTCTACCATCTAAATAATTAATAATCAATGAAATTATATTGTGTTTGAATGGAAATTATTCCATTTTTTCATTAAAAGTAATTATGTGTATTCAACTAACCCGTCACGGATATCATATCCTTTTAGATTTGCGGCAACAGTTAGGGCATTTCTCCATCTTTGCACCTTCTGCATCCCCTCAACATCATCCTTATACTTTAATTCATGTTCGGCAAATGCTGCTCCAAAGCTTTCACTTTGGTTTCGAATATGTGATGGATCCACATCATAGAAGATTGGTATGACTGTTTGTCCATTTTCTTCATCTTTGCATTCCATGATCTTCACTAGTTCATTCAAGCACCACTTAGATGTAGCATAATTCTTTGAGAAAACAATAAGTGCAACTTGAGACTCTTCGATAGCTCTCAAGAGTTCTTTCGGAATTGAATCTCCATGCTCTAGCCTTTTATCATCTTGAAAGGTGCTTATTCCCCTATTTTTCAAACCTTCATACAAATGACCCGTAAATGTTTTTCGAGTGTCTTCACCTCTGAAGCTTAGAAACACAACGTACTTCCATCGAGGACAATACTTTGAATTACTCGCAGAAGAAGAAGAAGATGCCATAGATTCGATTAATTGTCTGAAAAGAAAAATATTTTTTATGGATGAGATCTATTGATGATATTTTGGACAAAGTCCTTGTATTGACAATTCAGATAAGGCGGTGGAGGATATGGCTGTTGTCCATTCATTTTACAAATGTGGAAATGCCCTGGAACCTGATATTTGTTGGGCTGGATCTTCTAGATTAATTTAATGTTGTTTTGGTATTTTTTATTTGGGCCGAAGTCCTTGTACTGAATGTTGGTTTCAGAAAGTTAAATAAAAAGGCCAGCAGGCCACAAAAATTTGATTAAAAAACAAAGGTCCGAATTTGAAAAATTAAAAATGTCTCGAAAGTTAAATTAATATGGAATGGAGGGAGTAGTTTATGAATATTTACTTTTACCCTCAATATTATAAAATCATAATTAAACGGGTGATTTGAAATGAAGCAATAGTACTTTAATGCTCACGCTTAATTCAATCAATTTAATAAGAGTTAAATGACATTCATATTCTCCTTCATTTATAGTCTATAAATGTTTTCTTTCCTTTCTTTTCCTCCTTATTTTCTGGTTTATTGTTTACATATTAATAATAAAAAATACTTCCTCCGTCCCATTTTATATGTCATCCCTTTTTGTAAATAGCTGGATCACAATACTTGTCGTTTTATAAAATTTATGCATGAATTACCATATTTTGCCTATTATACCCTTGATAGATTAGTTAATTAATCTTGAAAATATACTCACTGTTTATTATAAAGTTGACTTAAGAAAACATTAAATAAGGATAGAAGGGTAAAGTTACACCATTTCTTAATGCAAGTGCAAAGTAAAAAGGTGACATATAAAATGGGACAGAGGGAGTAATGATTATCAACATATCATATCATTTTGCTCCAGTACTATCATATCATATAATATATCGTACTTATTCTAAAAGTGAAAAGTTGAATTACCAAATTGACCATTAAAAGTTAAACGGCCATTATATCTTTCAAACAATTATATTATTCAAAAACTTTAAATGCAAACATATAAATACACATGCATTTTTTTTTACAATAAAAGGAAATATTTGTATTTTTTAAAATAAAAATAATAATTGCATCTTTGTATAAAACGTTGGTGGTTCAAATTAATTGTTACCCTCAAATAACCCTCCCTTTTCTTTTTAAGAGATGGAAAGTATGTAAAATTGTTTGATGCTAAACTAGAATAGTTGTCATATTTAATTTTCACTACTCATAAATTTTGGCTATAATATAATCTTGTAAGAAATCATGACGAAGACCACTCCTTATGGTAAACACAATTAGTAGTAGTTGTAGAGTATTGGACTCCCACTCCTTCTCAGTTACTTTCATTAAATAAATAATTCGGTATTCAAGAAATATCAAATGCTAATTGGTATTAATGTCTCATACCAAACTTAAATTCGGATACCATAATTCTAAACCGAATACCCAATTATTATGTGTTCAATTGGAACAAAACATAATTTGAGGTTTAACAGAGGGCAAAACACTACCCCAACTTTAACTCTCAAATATCAGAAGCACATGACTGGTAGTCGGTAGATAACAACTCTTCCCAAGGTTCAACAACATGGAGGAAACTACAATAGCAACCTTCAAGGTTCAACCAACTGTCACTCAACAAGCTTCGAAAGTACATGTTTGATATTATAGAAGAATGCCCTAGACATAAGATTTCGAGTAACTATAGAGCCAGATAACGAAATACCAACAAGAATATGTCTAACAACAAATTAGACCATAAAGTCTAACGATTTTCTACAGACGTGGAGAAGCACATCTTTCAGTAGAACCAGTCTGGGATCGAGCTACTTATAGAAATGTAAGAGTTGCACAAATTTCTGGCCGGCAGAAAGCTGAGCAATGTCAAACGAGGTGTTATAGAAAGGAACAGTTAAAGCATGGACATATGTTATTAATTGCTTCCTACCCGTTGTTGAACCATTGTTTCAGCATGAGAAAAGAGAATGCAACAGAATTCTCGCATAACAAGTTTCTATCTTACTTCAATTATTCGAACGTATAACATAGTCATTCAACCATTAAACTTATGCATCATCGCCAATGCCAATGAACTAACCCTTGCAAAGTTGCAAGCATACTAAAATAGTACTGTATCCATTCCAATTTTGTAGAGGAAGTGTCCAAATATTTGGATTGATTCTATTTTGATAATACTTTCAGAACTTCATGAACTAAATATTCATCAACTACTCAAAATTTTGAACTTTGATCTGATGGTTTCTGCATTCAACTAACTTTTCAACCAGTATTGTAATATTTTCTTTCACTATTATTCATATAGTATAGAATCAAATTAACATCTTAAACTCCGTTCAGTCTAATGTAGTCATATAAAAAGAACGGAGTAAGTATTTATTAAGAGCCTCGGATATCTAAAGAGATGAATCCTAACTTCAATAGTAAGGACAGAGCAGTGGTAGTGAGTCTCATTATTATTTTATACACAAAGCAATGCCTGTTTTAAGGCTCTAAATCTCCTACCACACCAAGGAAAATCACATCCCTCTACATAGGTGTGGCTATAATTACATCTGGTCGCAACTATACAAAGTACAGAACAAAAAAAATGCAATCTTTGAGAAGCAAGTTACTAGATGAACATGCATCTTCGAGAGCAATACTTCAACACGATAAATCATCTGTGGATGATATCCGTTATAAAAAACAAGAGCATATCAAAATTTGAATCGCGTTCCACATGAAACAATAAAAACCATGTATAGAGAACACCACATCATGGATAAAAATCAGTACTTAAACAACACAACACGAGCATAGCAAACTTCGAATTGCATTCCACGAGAAACAATAAAAAACCATGAACAAGACCACATCAAGGATAAAAATCAGTACTTAAACAACACAACACGAGCATAGCAAACTTCGAATTGCATTCCACGAGAAACAATAAAAAACCATGAACAAGACCACATCAAGGATAAAAATCAGTACTTAAACAACACAACACGAGCATAGCAAACTTCGAATTGCATTCCACGAGAAACAATAAAAAACCATGAACAAGACCACATCAAGGATAAAAATCAGTACTTTATCGCAAAAATGCACATCTAACCACAATGAATATATGTCAAACATTTAGTATTAACTCTAATGATTCTCCAACATATACAAAAATCGACTCTACTCATAGAAAAGAATTGCTTACTTACTACAATTGCTTATCTTCCACTATCCTCAATCGCATTTCAATCAATCTGGCATTGAATTCCCCATCACTAACCTTCAACATCTCCGATAAAGATAGCGAAAACCCATGCTCCACCAAAAGTCTATGCCGAGGCTTAATCTTCCTCTCCAAACTAAACGAAAAGTACTGAGGAAACCTCTTCAATTCCCCTATATCCCCATTCATCTCCTTCAAAAAATACTCAACTTTCGGCCTAAAATTTTTCTCAATACTAAATGTCAACAACCCAGGTGACCTCAAAACCATATTAACCACATCATCGCGTTCGAATCCCAAACTCAACATGTAATCAATTTTAGGGTTCAATGTTAACTCAACACTGGAAACAAGCAAAACAGTAGTTCGACAAGTAATCCGATTCTGACCCACAAACCCAAATTCCTTCAAAAACTCAAATGTGGGTTTCAATTGATCTTCAACACTACAAACAAGAATTCTCGGACATCGGATAATGGATTTCCGAATGTCGTGAAAAGGGATAACGACGTCGTTTAACAAGAAATCGAAAATTGGGTAAAGGTGGATATAAGGATCGAAGATGGGGGTTTAATTGAAGGACTTTTGTGGGATTGATATTGAGTTCTTGAAGATAGAGTATTTTCTCCCGGAATTTGAGACCACAGTCAGTTGAAGTAAGGGTTGGTGGGGTGGAGAGGTGAAGGGATTTGAGTGAGGTTTTTGTGGGTTTTGGAGAAATTGAACAAATGGGTATTGGAGAAGAGGGGTTTGGGGTGATGGAAGAAAAGGGGATTAGGGTTTTGGGAGGGTTTATCCATGTTAGCATCTCAGGTAGAAGAAGTGACATTGAAGAAGAAAGGACTCTGTTTGCATGCTTTGTGTTGGAGTTTATTGAGAAAGATGATGACTACTTCATTAGAGTTTTTCTTTGAGTTTGTGTTTTGTTGGGTAAAAACTACTTCTATAGCCTATCTCCTTATCCCTATTGTAATTGTATATACCAATTTCTTATTTTATTTTGAGCTAATTGCTAAAATAATCCATAATGTATTTTGGTTACGAGTGTTATATCTGAACTATTTTATGTATAAGTTTTCTAAGTGAACTGTTGAATATTTATCGAAACACACTTTGATTATCAGTTATTCACTTTTCCTACCTGAATGGTAGTAATATTTCAAGTAGGAAAAGTGAACAACTGATAGTTCAAGTATGTATCGATAAATATTTGGTGATAGACTGATAGTTCAGATTGAGAAGTTCACACGCATGATAGTTTAGATATGAAACTCAAAAACTAGGATACACCTATCCTTCGACCTTTTATTTTTGAAAAAAAAAATATACTACTATGTAAGAGCCCTTTCAACTTGCCACTTACACAATTTAGCTTTTGAGAAAATTAGTATAATTCACAAAAAAACTTTACGTAATTTAGTTAATAATACCATGAGGCCACAATACCCTCCCAACCTCCAAAAAATCAAACTCAAAATTTTATCCACAACTTTGGGAAATCGCAAATTATATGTGAACGTGATCACTGTAGCAAACTGTCAATTTACAAACAAATTTTGTTGTGATTCATGATGTCTCACCAATTGAGGATAATAGATCATTACTAGATCTACCTCTCCGACTGAATATGATAAAGCCTATAAAACATAGAGCTATGTTTAAGAGAAATCAATCAACAAAGTTTGATGAAATTTGAATTTGTATGATTGTGAATAAAATTGAATATTATTATATATAATGTATAAAAACCACTTGTAATTTTGTATAATATTATACATCAAGTTTTTAAACATTTTCTGTAAATTAGAAAATGGAGGTTTTGTATAATATTGTATACTATATGTATATTATTGTATATTTGATTACATACAAATTATCATCAATGAATTAAAAAAAATTCCAATATCAAATCCTTGAAGATGGTAAAGCCCAACGTTCTTCTGTAGGATACATTCAAAAGGCTTGAAGATGAGTGAGATATTTGAATGAAAAAAAAGATTGATAGCCCATTGTGAATTATGAAGAAGAAACAGATACCTAGACAACACTTGACCAACGTGAGTATTGGCATGTATATGAAACATATACTCTTATTTTATGAATGTATTAGTATATATTTGATATCAGATACATGTATCTAGATAGTTGTATCTACTTTTCTCCTTAGAAGTATGTATTATGCACAAATACAGTGTATACATCATTGTATACTTGATACTTAATACTACAGGATAGACGATACATGTATCTAAATAAATGTCTTCTATCTTGTTCAATTTGATATTGTGAAAGACAAATGCATTGTATAGTACTAGAAATTGATACATGCATGTATGCTATGAAACATATACATGTATGGTATAAAAAGAAGATACACAAGCATGCTTATGTATCAAATATCCGGTCAAGAGACGAGAGAGGTGAGAGGGAAAAGGTGTCACGAACTGTATCTCAGATATAACCTCTTAGCGAGTGACATACAATGTATATTTGATTAAAATAGGAGAGAGGCAAAAGAAAGAGGAGCCATGAGAGAGAAAGAAAAGAGGAGAGACACGATCTATAGTTATTTTAAGTATCATTGCATAACGTAATTCCAAAATATACTATCGTATTTTGTGAAATTTCCCCTATATATTCCTCTTGCGTGAATAAGCTAAGGAAAACCAGGAGATATAAGACGAGCCCAAAGATATTGGGCCTCTAATTTGGCTTGTGACATAATGTCTAGCCCAATATCTATATGTAAGTTTTAAGGAAATTTACCAAGTGAGACAAAATGTCTCCACATTTCAATTTTAATACTTATGAAATATAAAAGAATAACTAAAAGTATAAATCAGAAATGACATAGGAAAATAAATTCAATTGAATTGAATAGGACTAGAAATTGAACAGTAGCTCTATGATAAAATTATCATCCTATGGCCAGTGGCGGATCCAGAAATTTTATTTCATGAGTGCTCAATTATTTTTAGTTTGAGAATTGCTATATAAAGTGGGTGCTTAGTTAATACATTTGAATGAATTATTAGATATTACAAACAAATATTAGTGTTAATTGCAAAAAAGCAATGGGTGCTTAAGCACCCATAATCCATAACATACATCCGCCACTGCCTATGGCTATGGCAATCTAAGATAATTGACTTAATGAGTTCGAGTTTGAATCAGAACTATTGGGTTCATATAAACTTAATGTACATATCTCCATAATTCATCATACTCTTTACCTACCTAATTTATTACTGAATTGATCAAATAATTATTTCTAACCCACAACTATCTATATTTGTTTAATGAATTTTTAAACACATACACAAAGTTAGAATAAAAGCAACTACATTTCATCCAAATTGTATGGAAAAAGAAAATCGTGTCTACTAATTGGCTGCATCAATATGTAACACGTGATTAAATCATGTGCTACTAGATAGCTTTTTTAGTACTAAGCGTATGGTTATTTCACATCGAAAGATAAGAATTAAGATACATGAAATTTTTTGTTTTTACTTTTTATTTCTTGCAGAATTTTTCCTTCTCATCTTTCACATCACAATATTATATTATTTATAATATATAAATTTTTTAAAAATAGAATAAGAAGAGAAGTAGGACAAGTAAGATGAGCGATAAATGCGGCGAAAACACATGTGAAAATGTCTAAAAAATATGACATCCCCAAAGATCCCCTATATCTCTATTTTCTTGGCCCCATTAATTAGCTCCCATACAATGGAGTTTGAAAAGTCGGAGACTGAGTGTCCGTTTGAATTGACTTATTTTAGGTATTTTTAAACAGTTTTGTAGTGTTGGATAAAGTTAAAAAGTGTTTATAAGTATTTATTTTAAAGCCAAAAGTCGTAAGTTAGAAATCCTAACTTATAGCTTTTGGCTTATAAGTCATAAGCCAAAAGTCAATCCAAACAGGCCTTGCGTTAGTGTTTGATTATAGAAATAAATATATATCTATAGAATTATATTATATTATTATTAATAAATCTCACTTATTTCTCAGCCAGAGTTGCAATTAAATTAATATTTAATGGGATATCGAGGGACGTCCAAACTAATATGGGGTGAAAGGTAAATTTATACAAGTTGAAAGAGTTTTGGAATAATATGAGTAAACCTACGGATGAAATTCTTGGTCCTTATTAGTTTTCTATCGCATATAAAAAAATAAATTAATATAGATGACAACGAGTTAGACAAAAAATAAAAGAGATCAAATATAAAAATAAAGAGTAAGCTCGCCATTCATTTTAACGAAGGAGGATGAAAAAAGTGTCATCTAGCCATTGAAAGGATGTTCCTAATCACCTAATGTTGAATTATTATTATTATGGATTAATGTTATTAGTGATAATTGAGCATTAAAACTTAAAAGATGTGATTTTAACTTGAGAGTTTTCTTATTAAATGTTCAAACACTTGTTTTTGGCTTTATTTGTTAGAGAAGTGCTTTCATGTTGGTCTTTTTAATGTAAAATACTTGTAATATGACCTCTTTTCCAAAAATAATTTTCCTTTTCGGGAAGTGCTAATGGCCAGAAAATTTGGCCAGAATTTGATCAGAAAATTTAAAAAGTTATAATATTTTTTTTATTTTAAAATAAACTGATGTTTTTTTTCTATTTTTAGTTAAAAGATATTAAAGTTAAAAGGATAAAAATGTTTAAAAAGGTAAAATAGCATAGATAAAATATTATTCTGACCAAATTTTCTGGCCAAAAAGATTTTCCCTTTCCAATATTAATATTCATATTTAATCATCCTTAACTACATATTAATAAATAAAATAAATTAAGAGAGTGTTAATGGGATATTGAGTCACTAGGCTCAAAACACAAGAAGAGAAAAGAAGGGCAGATGGAAGAAGGTGAGGGGTGTTTGACTAGTCATTGTCAGCCTTTTCAGGGCATCACGCATACCCTCAATTCTTCCCAATTTTCAAATTTGAATACTCTGATAATATTCAATTGAAAATAAATAAAATAGATATAATATGTTAACATGACTTTTAATTTTTTAAAATTTACAGATATTTAAATTTATATAAAATTAAATAAATAAATAAATAACACACATATTTTATATGACGTTTTACAAATTAGTTCAAATGTATCTTACCTGAATTGTCATATAGAGCACCAAAGTTTTTCCGAAATTTGAATTAATAGTGTCAAATTGGATCACTTTATAGGAGTTGATGCATTCAATTTTTCTCAAAAAAACAAACATAATTTTATTGATAAATAATATGAATACTTGCTTGATTCTTCTCTTTTCATTTTCTCAGTGATTCATGGACGGTTAATAATGTATATCTCAAACATAGAATGGTTGGACCTCTTTGAGATTTATTTAATCTTCTTGAAATATTTAACTTTAGAGAAAAATCAAGTTACGTCTTAATTTTTCTATAAATATTTCATGAAATTATTAAAATTTCAATAAGATATGTTCAACTAAAACAAAATTAAATTCGATTATCTAAATGATTTTCATATAAGAAATAAAAATAGTGTCACGTACCATTGACCATAGGCAATACCATT